GGATATGTAGTCCTCCTATCAGAAGACACTTTAGTCTTCCAGTGTTTCAACTTGCCGTTAAAAACACTACCGATGTCATGGTAACGCAGCGAATGTCTATTTGATTTTCATTTCGACCACCGTGATCAGTTTGTTATCGAAAGACACTGCCAAAATCTATTACCAGCTTTCGAGTGTATGCTTCTTCGCATTCCTGTGTTGGGCGTCGCTTGCTGGTCGGAGGATGAGGCGTTTCCCAGACGGAACACAATCCACTCTCAGTGGACCGTGGTACAGAGCATGCTTTACTGAAACAGATTAGCTTCCGGAGAATATAATTCAGACGATGAGTGAGATCTTCATCTGAGAAGTCCTCAATTGACGAGCCAATCAACGAGTGATCATGTGACCACGTGATGTAGATTTTGTGACTGAAGGATGAATGACACTGTCCTGTCCAATTGCGAGTTGATCACACTGCGATCACCCGCTTGTGGCCGAATGGTTAAGTATTCGAACTAATAACTGGGGGTTGTGGGTTCGAGTCAGCTCGCATTTTAAGTGTTCGCTGTGACTTCATACATTATTATACTGAGAGGTGAACAAGCAAAGGTCATCCGACCTATATGACGACGGTAACATAAATTGCTTGGCCTTGAAATTGTTCAGCGGTCCACGTGTGCTACTAAGCTTGATGGTAACCTCACCCGTCAGGTGATAGGAGTTCGGATCCTGTAGGGTTCACGGATATTTATTGTTGACCAATTCTAGTAAGAACCTCAAGTCAAGTACCGCCCCCTTGTAGGTGAGGACAAACCAGAACAGCTGCGTCAAGGTAACTGGAAGATTGGACTTTATTGAATTTTGGGAGACCCGAGCACTAGACTGTCTGTTGGTCAAAGCAAACAGAGTATTAATCCTCGCCGCTTCTGGAGTGATGATCCGAAGGAACCGACTGAAATGGATCGTTTCAGGTAGATAAGAACCGTGTGATGGACTTCATCGGTGAAAAATCCTAAAGAACCGACCGAAAGTAGTCACCTTTGATGAGCGATTAGGGGGGGGGGGGGAAGTACGTCTGTTTAGAGTCCACAAAACGTGTACTAAACGCTTCATCTGTTGATCTGCTTTTCGAACTTGGCAAATGAGTTGCAGATGTTTCGGCCCCCGCAGGTGAATGTTTCACGTGCGACCTCAAAGACTACTTTTTACGGTATGAATCCTCGACTAACGTCTCCCCACTCTACGCCTGGCGGATTACTTCGCAAACACGATGAAACTATACGCGCTGGTTTGTAGTGTACTTGCGGTTTTCTCATGGTGTGCGTCTTACAATTTTTTACTGCTAATAAACTTTGGCATCCCTATCACCCCTGAGGTTCGGACAACCAGTTGGACGCTTGCTTCTCTGAGCAATCCCCATGGTGCCTCGTTCTCCCGTGGGCGAATGCGTTTACGAGGGCATTCAGGAGAGTGAGTTTACTCTGCAATTAGAAAATTTTCAAGTTTTCCTCAAGACAGACAAGGCGGAATTCCAGTGGGTCTTGTCCTGTCAACAGGAACACCACCTATGTGTGGAACAAGACCGTCGTCGAGTAATCAGCGCACGACTTCATATCTAGACGGAGTTGGCGGAATTCCACAGGTTCACAAGGCATTTCTGCCATCCCGGCAAGAGAACCACTGAGCCAGTAATGTGTTGTGCCCCGGTGTACAGCTGTTTAACGTGATGAACAGAACCAGAATAAACTGTCGTTGATCTCCTCAAGGTTACCCAAGTGTGAATCCATCTGTTACAAGAGGCACGCAGCTTGTAGCATTGATCCGTACTGTACATTATTCTTGTCCATACGCAACCACACTGGAGGGAGGGGTTGAAGTACATCAACGGAAGAAAGTAAGAGAGCTTGGATACTGCCAGGTCGCCCAAGCCTAGGCAGGAGCAGTCGAGACGCCGAGGTTGAGTTCGAACCACGAACTTTCCGGTCCATGAGCTGGTGCCTTAACCAGTGAGGTATCTCGAGCCCTTATCCACACTAGTCACCAAGGCGAGTATCCACAACCACACCCGACTGCTAAAAGACGGCAGTTGAAAAAATACACTCAAGTCTGCCCATACGGCCCTAAGTTGCATCAAAGATGAGGAGATCGTCTCAACTTTAGGTACGTTCGCTTGAACATTCTTATGGTTTCAGCATGAATACTGCTCGTCAGATTAGTAAATGTCCAGTGTCAAAATAGAGAAAACTAATGAAACAAACAGGTGCGGTTGTTTACTAAATTAGAAAACATCCAACTGGATGCTGTGAAAGTCAGCTGAGCGATCGGTTCGTCACATGACCAAGACAGACTCAGCGCTCGTTCGGGGTTCGTATTGAACAGTATAGTACCGGATTTCGCAATAGTATTGTGACCGGTCCGATTGTACCCAGGTAATACTATTGGATCGATACTGATCCTATCGATACGATAGGAACTCAGCGGAACATTTCGTCTGGATTGATCTCGTTCACGTTGTCAGTGTGATGCAATCGATCGAGCCATTGGGTCTAGTGACGTGACGGTGAGATAGATGCTCAAACGACACAGATCATAAAAATTTAGCAAATAGTTGAATGCAAAAGACCAGACGTAGACAAATCGGGGACAGCTGAAAAGCCGTCTGAAGCGCCAGAGGAGTGATGATCTGATATCTGAAGTCACAATCCAGTGTCTCGATTCTGCCAGCAACACGACTTTATGAATCGCTCTGGACTGATCCACGGAAACAGGGATTTGTGTTCCCACATCTTATCACTATCATCATATTTTTCAGTTGTAAAAACCGCGTACATGTTGTGCAGTTGGTGTAGCTACCAGTTTCGTTCACCGGTGAGCTCGGTACCTGCGCGTTGGAGGCGGTCGCAGATACACGAGTGTCAGAAGAAATTTCACTGAGAAGACAGAGAGAGGAAGCTGTGCATTGAAGGCAACAGCTGGAATGCATGAGCGCTATTGAGGGCGCTACTGGGCCATGTCTGTTAGCGTCCCTAACCACCGATGTGCTCCGTCTTAGGACCCTCATCCACAGCGAGACGGCAGTGACCAGCGCAGCTAAGTCTGCCGCCTCCACTGGCTCGTTTTTACCCTCCGCGTAGTTCTCGCGTCTAGGAAGGTAGAGGGCAGTTTGAGGGCGATTTGTTCCTTCTGAGCTGCGAACTTGGAAGTAAAATGCTGTTCCAGGTGGTTTCATGTGTGGCGGTACCAGATATTGTTGAGGCAGAGCACTCAAAATAACCTGATCAAAGGTACCGGATAGTTAAAAGCCGACAAGCTGTAGATTCCATTCGGTTGTACCAAAAAATTCATGTGCAAGGCAAAAGTTAAGCCATTTCTGCATTAAATAAACCCGCTTGAAGCCAATCTTTATTATACAGTTTATACTGCGCACAATGTCATTTACGAAACGCCCGGATGGGTGTTTCTTTCCATGCCCCTTAATGGGGTCAAGTTCCCGTTTTCAGATTCCAGAATTTCACCGAAAGATGCCTAGTGATCGATTTCCTGTCCAAAGTAGTTAATAGGTTTCTGAGAAATACACTCATTTGCAAATCAATTTGGTTTTCACGAGAGACTCAAATGAATCTCTCGTTTATGATATTCTACAACTGAATGTGCTGCACACAGTCCGCCTCATGATTCAGTTGGCACGATATTCGAGATATCGCAGTATATTTTCATAAAGGGAACCACTCACAAGGTTGATGAAAACTCTTCGACAACCCACGACCGGTTTCGCTCCTCCATTTCCGGCTCATCAGGCAGGCGCAGTCCCCGCGTTTCGATCAACCTTATGTTCTACTTGAATCCAAATCGGACCGTTTTCGAGAGGTACACTCATTTGCAAATCAATTTGGTTCTCACGAAGGTTTTCAAGAAGGGCGAAACCGGTGGTCGGCTGTCGAAGAGTTTTCAGCAACCTTGTGAGTAGCTTCCTTTATGAAAATAGTTACTAGATTGCCTGAAAAATTTCTACTAGAGGGGAATATGGATATAATGTCCCCCTATGAACAAGGATTATCCACGGGAAACAGTTTGGGCGCTTCTAGCCTCCGTGAGGTGAATATTGTCGGCGGAACCTTCACCTACTGTCAGGACGCGCCCAGACATGAAAAAAGTACATGTGCAGAGAATGACGCATCCCCAAGGTCATCATCGGTACGACACATTTCGGATAGCAGGTGCGTTGGCGGAGCTCACCAAACACGACTTAGCAACATAAGACCAGTGGAGTGGGGTTGAAATCGTTCACGACCGGAACACCGCCATTGGCTGTACAGAACGAACAAGTGAACGACCGTATTTGGCCATTTAGTCATCCTATATATTTACGCAGAGGCTCTGTGTGTTTTGTCCTGACAATACAGCCGTGTCCGAGGTTCTCTGTGGTCTGGCAGACTCCGTGTAAGCGTAACCAATGGACGGCCACGCATGATACAACACCTACCCTATAAGAGAACATTGATTCAATTGTAATAACACTGAAGAGAGATGCAAAGGGGACCATCTCTCTTAGGTCCCTGATGCAAGGATTTTTTCTTGATGAAGGTAACTTTCGCCCACTACTTTTGAAGGTCACCACTTTGAGTACCATCTGTCGAGATATCTCATGCTCTAGATATAAATAAGCTTTCTGCCCGCAACGCCATCGGAGTAGCCTCACTAGAACATTCGGTCAAACTGGCTTAGGAAACGATTGACAGTGTAACATAAGCTGCCATGATGATCATGGGACTACGGTGCGTTCAGGAGTTGGTCCGTTCGAAGCTAGTTCCGTTCGGATCAACAGTCCCGTGCTTGCGAATTAACGTGAAACCATTCTGTGGTGATTCATCCTGGTTGAGATTTCATCAGTGCGGGCAAAACAAAATTTTCACTAGGGCACCTAGATCTGCTATTCGTCCGCATGATGTCCGATCACTAATTCGCGCATTCGGTCGATATTTTTAGTACCGTTCCGCCTACTTTATCCCGTGATTCCTATGGACTTTAAAAGACGCCAGGCCGATTTCTTCATCTTATCAAAACTTAAGTTGAGTTATTCTCAGACCTCGGTGGTCGTTGTTGCATGGGTGTGCTTCTCGCTTGGCCGAAATCTGAAAGAAGTAGGCTTCTTCACAGGTTTTGCTACAACACTGTCTACTTCAAGTGTAGCTGGAAGTGAGGAACAACAGACAGGCGAAGACTGCTTGCTCACCACTGCTCGTTCGCCGTCTACTCGATCCCATCCAACTCAAAGTCCAGCCGGTAAACTCTATCTTGAAGTTGTGTGGCAAGTAAAGCGGCGTAAAGACATGGATGTGACGAGACAAGAAAGTTGATCTTTCATCATTTGACACTGGACGACTGGCGAAGGCCAGGCGCAGTTCAATCACATAGGACTTGCGCTTAGTTTCTACCCTAACGATTCCATAACTACTTCGTCATTGGACGGTATCTACAGCAGTTTTCGCAGCACCCACATTCCGATGACACAGACGAACAAAGTTCAGCTGGTCAATGGAATTCGGGAAACCGTGTGATCGTAGCAGCCATCTGATAGACTGCACTGAACCTTCAAAGCCCTGATGTGTCACTTGAACTGAATTCGAGCGTCTTTTCACAAGCAATTTTCGTTGTTGTGATTGGTTTATCTTGATAGTTTTTCTGAGTGGACTGAAGAACTAATTTCTCCGCTCAAACAACAGTTCCTTTTTGCACACCCAACTGCTTGACAGGATTTATCCGTGCGGAAATGCTTTGTAGCCTTCAGTTTGGGTTCCGCCTACACAAACGCTTCAAATATGTTCTATCGATTTGGTTGGTTCATTGACTTGTGCAAATGAACCATGGTAAACGTTCTTTTCGATAGCGAATAGAAATTATAAGCGTTCAGCTGTAATACCCCGTCGATGCCATGGCACCAGAAGAGGTGGCACTGAGATGCTGCCAGGTTGGTCAAGCCTAGACAGGAACAGACGCCATGCCAGGGTCAGAGTCGAGCCACCGGTATTCCGGTCAGTAAATTCACGCTCCAACCACTTGGACCATCTCGTCGCATTCGTGGCCTGTTAGATGGAGAGCTCGAGAGATAGTTCCATGCATGAAATTACGGAACAGAAGTCCGTGGTTCGAATTCAACCCCGGTATCCCGACTGATCCTGACAGTATCTCAGCTCTCGTGTGGCATGGCGGATGGATACCGAAACGGTGTTGCAGCTGAACGATTATGTTCGACCTTTTGTTGAAAACAAACCCTCATTGGTTGCACAACAAACCATATCAAAACTAAATACACACATCCCGCTTTCGTCCAGATTAATCGCATTGCTGAATAGCCATTCATCGACGAACGCTCAGTGCCGGATGGTAGCGAGAGCAATGCTTACACTAGTTATCGTTCCCCATTAGGCCAAAGCACCTGCTGTGCAGTGCTCCCGAACGTTTCCGCATAAGCCCCATTAAAAACAAACAAATCATACGGCCGGAGGGCCTTTCGGGCACTGTGCAGACCACAGAGATACTACAGGGTCGCATATCAATTGGAGGAAAACAATCAACAAGCAGGAACCATAGTCCTGCTTCGGTTAAAAACGCACACCGTAAGATTCATTCTATCTTTAGTAGTCGATCCCGACATCTTACCGATGGGAACTAGTTCATCAGATGTCTGAAAAACGTGTATCAATGTGGAACAATCTATAAGTGAAATGAATGTAATGGCAGAAACGCGATAATGTGAACTGCTGGCTGATGGGGTCGTGACGATATCACAGTTATTACTCACTCAATAGTGTGTTCGAGCATAGCAAGAGAAACCAACGGGAATACAAACATGAAACGTGTTAGCGCCAAATGGAAGAAGATATCGGTGATCAAAGTGACAGGGAAACAGTGTGGAATTCAAAAAAGAAAACGCGCAAACGCCCAAATGATGCATCAACGGGAGCCACACGCACACACAAAGCGCAGTGAAATAGAATGGGAATTAAAAAAACAATCAGTCGACTTTAACAACAGCATAGATTCTTCGTATGAACCACAAGCACGCAAAAAATCCAATGCTCCCTGAAAAAGAAATGGACAAAGTTGGGGTGAGAAATTTGTCGTGTATAAGTGTCTATTTGCTTGTTTATTTGAACCGAGATCAAACCAACTGAAAACGGCTGGTCCACATCAACCACAGATTCATCGTCACCACTGACAGTGACGCAGGATGTGAACACTCCTGTCGGAGGCCGTTCGTCCCTAATAACCAAACATCACATCATTTGGACGGATGTGTCACGCGCAGGACGCGGATCAAACGAAGGCATGTCCTGATTGGTCAGAAGGCCAGCCAATCTGAGTCGAACATCTTTGACTCGACGCTTGTCGCCCCCTCACGGAGATTCTAGCACGACCTTGTGGAATACTGTGATTACCCAATAAATACAGTTGTAATGAACCTCATTTTGTCTGCGTAGAGCTACCGTTTCCTTTTGATATACCATAGTGGGCGGAGCAGGAAAGGATTCGATTCTAGCACGACCTTGTGGAATACTGTGATTACCCTGTAAATACAGTTGTAATGAACCTCATTTTGTCTGCGTAGAGCTACCGTTTCCTTTTGATATACCATAGTGGGCGGAGCAGGAAGTCAAGGATTCGATAGTGAAATGCACTACAATTCAGACAACAATTCCTTCACATGAAATGCTGGTCAATCGCAATGCCCCGGTTAGTCAAACTCAATCTAACGGCCGGGAACTTCCGACTCGTTGTCGTGCACTGAGCGACTGCAGTCAGAGTCGTACACCGGATGAAAGCAACCGGAGTGGTTGACAGCGGTTCCCAAGATTTTGTCCTTACGGTGAAGATGTAAGCATAGACCTGAGTTGTCATCTAGTGTGACAGTCCAGCTAAGTGGGATTCGTTTGGAATGGCATTTTGTGCAGCTGATGATTCTCGAGTACGGTCACTACAGCTGCAATGTGGCATTTAGATACCATTACTCAAACACAGTTGTCTCAGAGTCTCTTTTCATTCCTTCACGTCCTTCTAGGAAAACGGCATTGCTTAAAGGAGCACATTTCTTGCCTATTCCGGCTAATCTGCTTAGCTGGTTCGAGGGTCCGTGTTATTGAAACGATCTCTGAAAAGAATGAGATCTGAATCTATTCGAAGGAACGCCATTTTGAATGATAAGACTGATGGAGAATTCAGTGATAACAGGACAGTATTTACCAACCCCCTGCATTTGTGGCGCCAAGGTAACATTTGTTTGGCTGTCAAGGGTAGGGTGTACAACAATACGGTTAGACTAGCTTTACTTTATGAGTCTGTAGTTTGAAGTGCTCCATGAACTCTTTAGAAGAAATAGACCAACCAACATTGCATCCACAATCCATGACATGTTGTAATGTTTACGAACGCTGTGAGCACTCCTCTCTGTGTTGATACGTCTTCAAGCTTATTGGTCAGCGATAAGAATACACACAAGAAGTAATCGGAAGGGCTAAATTCGAACGTCTTGGCCCGAGCAGGCGAAGCAATCCCGATCGATGAGTAGTGGGGCCGAAGTTGTTGGGGAGTTGAGTCACCATGTGTGGAGGGGGGAGTATCGGGGAGTCAGAAAACGAAGGAGTCTGATCCCCATGTTCGCACATCGACTTTGATCGATATCGAGTGATAAAGGGTCACAGGCGACCAGAGAAGTAGTATTGATAGTTCATACAACAAAGCGATGAGACCTGTCGTATCATCATCATCGGCAGCTTCAAAAACGACGTACACTTTGCACCGTGGTTTGGTTCACCGTTGGTGTAGGGAGATGGGTAGATAGCTACGTATTGTAGGTGGTAGCTGATACAATTGATACGTACATGCATGAGTGGCAGTGGACTTTTCACTGGGGAGATCTGGAGGGGAAGATATGCATTCAAAGTGACAGCTTGGATGCCTGCACTCCATACCTCCCAATGTCTCTAACCACTGGTGCGTCCCTTCTCGAAATTCACGTCCAGGAAGAGGGCAATGACCGGCGCAGCCGAGATTTCTGGCTCTGGGAATGGCTTCCAAGCTTTACTACTGTCATTGTCGGTCTCCCCCTGGCTCGTTTCCACCCTTCGCATGGTTATGAGAGAGGGGCTCCTGGAGGAAGTTTGTCGATTGTCATACGGAGCCAGCTCATCTACTGTCGGCCCGTCATTTCCTCCCAAACGATTCGACCTACTTCGGCATTTCTGATCCCGATCGGACTCGGGCGAGGCTCCGAAGACACTGGTGGTTCTAAAAGTGAGTTTTTTTTCACGTCCCCATCCCATCGTATGCTTCAGACGAACCTCTGAACTCGCGCAACTGCACCAAGCACTACCACATAACAAAACCTTTTTCTTGTAAATTCGATGAGTGGAGCACCCGCCAACTTACAAATATATCACGATGGGATAGGATAGAGTACACAGGCACAAGTCGTTACATAAGTAGCTCGAGAGAGTAGCTGATCGTGACTTTCTGTTTTGCGAAATTAGCGGTAGGACTTCGGGGTTACTCACATTCGATTCTCGCGTTCTTGACGACGTCGTGGATATTGGTTCCACGACAGAAAGCGCACATGCACCTCCATCGTCTACGCCCAATGACCAGAAATCCAGTTTAGTGTGGACAGTGATGGTGGAGGAGAGGTTCAATCAGGTGAATAGCAGTGACAAGTCAGTTTAGGCCCGAGTGCAGACGATGAGTTTGGAGATTCGCAGGTGTGCCTACGGAGGATAGGTGTTTCTATGCGATTTGGATGCGTATTCCCAACTGTCCGACCGAAATTTGCCAAGCGCACACGTCAGAGGGGGGGGGGCGTTTTTGTTGACAAGACACAGGTACGAGTGAAACATTCGGCGTAGTTAATGGCTAGCCATGGAGTGCCCACTGCATCAAAAGGTTATATGATGAAGAAAGTCAGTCTGCTTTCGAGACCAAGAACATAGTCAATATCCAAAAAGCGTTTGTAGTCGAAAAGCACTCACCTGTCAACAAGAAGCTGAGCCACACGATGATTGAAATATAGCCGAAGTAAAGGAACCCAGAAATGGCGTCTCGGAACTCCAGACGTGATATGAAATAGTGCAGAGAGTAGATAAATAGGTAGAAGGAAGTTCCAGCCCCACAGTGAAAGGCTTTCCACCACCAACGATAATCCTATGGGAAGGAAAGTGAAAAGAACAAATGAGGTCCGTACGCGTACTAATTTGCAGTCAATTGGAAAATTGAATCAAAACACTAACAGCAAGCAGATTGTCTAGTACCCGAAAGAAACACGTGAATAGAAATACGGGAATCGGGTTATAGAATTGTCCATCAAGGGTTGTTTTTAATTCAATAATTGACCATCGAGCTATCTTGAGCTCGCAAACATCGTGGTTATCACACAAAGTAGAAGTAGAGTCTAGGCGTATAATATGCAATAACGGTAGTACCTCAGCTCATTTCTCGGTCGGAACCTTCGAAGTTAGCATTTTCTCTGGCAAAAGAACCAAAAAACATGCACATTTTGACAAGAGACCTAAATGAATCCAACGGAAGCTCTCGTTTATAATAGTTCGCTTCAACTGAATGTGCTGCACTGGGTCACCTCATGTTTCAGTTTGTACGATATTCGAAATACCGCAAAAGGTTGTTGTCTAGACGTAACGCACTACTCATAAGGTTGCTTAAAAGAAACACAAGGTTCCAAAGTCGATAGAGGTGTCCGAGAAGCAGGTCTTCATTGTTGTTCCAAATAGAAAAATACCGGGATTTAAGGTCATAGCCACTGGTGCATCGCTCTGGTTCAAGTATTTTGTATCGAAGCGTAATAACTGACGCTTCACGCACCATAGCTGATCATATTCAAAAGTGGTAGAAGAGTGCGAAAGATATGATAGAGATGAGGTCCCCGTGACCCTTTCCGTGCTTGGCGGCTGTTCGATGTCAGCGGCGTCCGTACTGTTAGCCTTTGTTTAAGCGCCTGGAGGTGTAAGCTCTTCAGTCTAGAACCAAGTCCCTCTGTAGTAACGGTATTTTCCTCAGCTTAGTTCTCGGTCTGAGCCTCCCAAGCTAGCGTTCACGTCAAAACAAACACCAAAGGTGCACAAGGTCTATTAACGCCCAAAACGAAGTCAAGAACAGTTGTACAGCGCTTCGTATATATATAGCGTAACCGGTTATAACTTTCTGGAATTTCTGACGCGTTCTGGATGCGCCATTGGCAACCGGCATTTGGCCAATACTGGGTCATGATTGGCTGTTGGGTCCAGATTGTTGACCAATCAGATCTCGGCTTGATGCCGGACCGGCAAGCGTCCCGAATTCTGGGCCAACCTCGCGCGGACCAGGCTTCTCGGCCGTAGCAGCGCCTAAAGACGTGCGGTATAGTGGGATCCGCGTGGATTCCTGCCTAACACCCTCTTTCATCCAATATCTTCTCACCTTTTCACTTTAAGGCTTAAGTTGTTATTAAACAAACTTTTTGATTGTAGGGGACCGCGTGGATTCCTGCCTAATACCCTCCTTCATCCAATATCTTCTCATCTTTTCCCTTTAAGGCTTAAGTTGTTATTAAACAAATTTTTTGGTTGTAGGGGGGTGAAGCATCGGTGTCAACACTGATGGTGCTGTCCCTGATGACGATGGTAACCAGAGGGAAAACAAACGACAAAGATAGGCTGCGATTATCGGAAAACAGTCAAATGGATAAGCCCGTGTGTGTGGTTGATTTCGGTCAAACCAAATGTTCCACACAAAGCTCAATCTGCCCTAATTAAGTGATAACATTCTCACTTACACATCATCTGAGTAACCTTGGTCTTTAACCACACAACAGGTGCCACCACTCATACAAACCATGTAGCATTCCGCTCAGGTTGCGGAGAACGAATCGATCATACCACCTCCCTTTGTACCAAACCATAAAATAAGACTAACATTGGTCATCCTCCCCGCTCAACTTCGTGATAATTGGAACACCTCTGGCGTTACGCCTCTTTCAATGACCGGAATCTGCAGATGATGACCGCCATTAGATTCTGAATAATGCTTCAATCAAATACCGTTAGGCGGAACTCCACACGGATCCCTCTTTACCGCTGACAGTCAGGTGCTGCTACGGCCGGAAAGTCCATCCCACACAAGATTGGCCAGTTAGGCGGAACTCCACACGGATCCCTCTTTACCGCTGACAGCCAGGTGCTGCTACGGCCGGGAAGTCCATCCTACACAAGATTGGCCAAAAAATTCGGGACGCTTGCTGGTCCGGCATCAAGACGAGATCTGATGGGTTGAAAGTCTGGAACCAACAGCCAATCATGACCCAGGATTGGCGGAATGCCGCTTACCAATGGCGCATCCAGAACGCGTTAGAATTTCCAGAGTTAGTGCCGCCTAGGCTATATACATGAAGCGCTGTACAAGTGTTCCCGACTTCGTTTTGGGTGTTATTATACCTCATGCACATTTGATTGTTTTGACGTGGACGCTAGTTTGGTAGCCTCAGATCGAGAACCAAGCTGAGAAAAATACCGTTACTACAAATACTCAATCGAACTTGGTCATGGAAACTGAAATATTAGACATAGTTTGTATGCTCGTTTAGCTGAGCGTTTGTACGGCCCACGAAATGAGGCAAGTACTGTTCCTCTCCAGTTTAGATCCTTATAACTGCCAAGATTGAAACACTGCCTCATATTTTTGAGAATACTGTGTACTGGAGACAAAAGTAAATCACTTCGTACAGATGTATTACACTACTCATAAGGTCGCTGAAAACTCTCCGACAACCCACGACCGGTTTCGCTCTTTTTGGGGCTCATCAGGTAGGCACAGCCCCCGAGTTTCCATCATCCTTACGTTCTACTTTATTAAAAACATCATTGAAGAGTTTCAGCTGGGTTCCAGGTGAGGATCCCGACAAAACCGGATCGGCATGTAGGTGAGTGCATAAGACGTAAGTAAATCACTTTCATTAGACGAGAACCTGTAATGCACAAGCATTGTAGGAAGAGGGAGGTGACAATACTAACGTTTGGGGAATGGTTTCAGGACACAAATCAAGTGTCTACTCATTTGGGGATGTGATACGGTCCAATCACGAAGAAATCAATAAGCATGCCGTGCTTTCCAAAGCCTATCCCAACTAGTACAGGACACGAGAGGCACGAGTAGCTTAACACGACGGGAGATCTGTGGGTTTGTGATATCAGTGACTTGATCCACCAGCGATGTTGCAAGGTGAAGTAGCCAATGGCGTTGTCCCCGACTATTCGCTCACTCTTATCCTTCAACCCACGTTGCGTTCTGGATCCGACTTAACTCTCTTCTTCATTTGCACTGTCAAATGCCGTCGTTTTAGCGGTGTAAACTGCCGATTACAATTAGATCCAAATCAGAACAAACCATGCGGTACACCCACTAAAGATAGAAACTCACTTCAGAACACAGTTGGAAATAGCACAGAAGTATGGCAGTCTCTGAGCACGTGATCACCAACATCAGAAACACCAGGAATAGAAGTCCGAACATGAAGTAGAACTGTGTGCCCCAGATGCTGTTAAATATGAAAAACAGTTGTATAAAAATACAACTGAAGGGTAACAATCCACCGAGGAAGAATGTGACCGTCGGACGACCATAAGCAGTGAGGAAAGGAATCTGACGAGGGATCTGGTTTGTGCGCACGGGGACTTCGATGGCCTGTAAAACAAAGATAACAGATTGTTTTAAGGTTAAACCAAGTCAGCTGCACCTTGTATGGAACAGCAGTCGTTGACAGAAATGGACGCGTTTGAATGGAATACAAATAAAGTTATTCTCAGCGAGAGGATGGCAGATAGTCCTTGGGATAATCACCGCAGAAGAAACTACGAATCGATAAACTTACAGATTTCTTAAATCCGAAGAATGCGCCAATGAAACACAGTGGTAGGCTAACTCCAAACCATAAAGCGAGCAACGCCACGATGGTGCCAAAGGGCAATGCATTGGCGCTGCGTAAGATCCACAAGGCCAGGTTTAGTATGAAGACGATTGTGAACACGACCGCAGGACAAACAGTCGCAGTGAGCAACACATTGGTTTTCCATCGAAGACCTCCCAAGAACTTGTACATCCTCGCTGCAACGTATCCTATAATGAGAAGGGAGAGTAAACGCCTGGGTCATCATAACCGACAGTATAATATCGGTGTTGAGTGCCGATTTTTAAATGCAGTACCATATTTAGAAGTCTAACTAATTGTAGTAACAGTACTTTTCCCAGCTTAGTTCTCGGTCTGGGCCTCCCAAGCTAGCGTTCACGTCAAAACAATCACCAAAGGTGCACAAGGTATATTAACTCCCAAAACGAAGTCAGGAACACTTGTACAGCATAGGCGTTTATAGCTTCCTGGAAATTTTGACGCGTTCTGAATGCGGCATTGGCAACCGGTATTCGGCTAATACTGAGTCATAATTGGCTGTTGGGTCCAGACTTTCGGCCAATCAGATCTCGGTTTGATGCCGGACCGGCAAGCGTCCCGAATTTTTGGCTAATCTTGCGTGGGATGGACTTCTCGGCCTTAGCAGCACCTGGTGAAGAGGGATCCGTGTGGAATTCCGCCTAACACTAATATAAAACGCGGGGCGTAAGGGACCTATTGCTAGTGTTTCGAGGCGCCCGCATCTCGAGACACCGACTCGGATAATCGGGATAGAAACTGATTGTACGAACACCACAGATATCGCCTTGGAGCCATTCCTTTCAGCATTTCTGGCCAAGCACAGGGGAAATTAGATCAGCCCCATCTTGGAAAGCGTGTGAGCCAATATTGATCGTTCGATAAGGAACAATACACGGATGAAAAAGGGGACAATTACCGGTGTGCTATGAGCAACTCCGGTATCAATGCAATGAGGCCGGAAAACTAACAAGATTAGCCACATTGCGAGATCTTGTCAAGGCCATGTTCCTCGAAATCGACCAGAATCGGAAGTCAAAAAATCGTCCAGCTGTAACGCCCTTTCGGTGCCTAGCTGCCATGCCACCCGAAGGAACCACGGAGGCTGGGATATTGTTTCGACAGGGAAGTCGAAAGACACGGGCCGGGTTCGAACCGCGGACTTTCTGGTCAGTAAATTCGCGCTCTAACCACTGAGACATGTCGACCAAATGTGAATAGTGGTCAGATCTCGAAAACCTTTCGTCCATGGTCGAACGCAACAACGTCCAATTGATTAATCCGAAAGAAGCAAAGGTCCCTGTGGTGAAGACTTTTAGTTACGGACTCATCTTTGCAACAATGCCACCAGGTAACCTTAGTATGAATTCTCAGAGTAATCCTTGTCACACTAGATTATCTTCTCACGGAATTGAGGAAAATGAAGTGAGTCAGGCAAGGTTGACGTAGAGAGACGCATTTACAAAAGAGCGGAATAAAACTGCACCGACCATCTGTGTGAAAATAGCAGCTAGAACATGTGGGTATTCTAGATAATGTTTAATAAACTTTGAATGGCGTTCACGAACAGCCTCCCATCTGCGAAAGCGATTTTTCCTACATACAACAGTTGTGGTTTGTCCCTTGGGGTAAGCTCTCAAGGGGGCACTTTCATCCGCATCAATACCTCTCAAATAATCCCTTTGTTCTGGTGCGGGAATCCCGCTTAGATTATAACACAGAAGCACGGTAGAATCCAGGATAATTCTTCTGAATGGGGACACGGCTCCGATTACTTTGCAGCCCGACAATTCGCCTGGCGTCTTAGAGTTTCTAGTTTTCTACGAGGTTTCTACATACCGACTGCCTTGATGGGCTGAGAATGCCACAGAAACGGTCAAGTAAACATAGAACTAACTCGCAAAAAGTCGAGCTCAAGGTAGTTAAGCGTTTAGAGCACTTGCTCCCGTCCAACCTTCAACAATCTTAGACTTTGCAACTTACTCCCAATCCCTTCTGAGATGACTCAGTGGTTAGAGCTCGAATTTACTGACCGGAAGGTCCTTGGTTCGAACCCTACATCCGCCTCTCGACTTTCCCTGTCTAGGCTTGGACAACCTGACAGTATCCTAGCCCTCGTGCCTCCTTCGGGTGGCATGGCAGCTAGGCACCGGAAGAGTGCTACAGCTGAACGATTTTCTTTTTATGCAACGAAAGAGCACGAGGAAAGAGGCGCATTCTGCATCGACAACAAACAGGTATCAAGTAGCTTATTTTCTCCATGGCACTTGTGTTAAAAACAATTCCAATTCACAAGGAGTTGAATTGTATTGATCTTCGATATAAAAAACAGTCGTCTCAGAAGTTAACAGAACTTTTGGCACAAGTTTAACTGACAAAGATAGATAAGCGGATACCCATAGATTAATCTTGTATTTTCGATGTCCGAGTGATTTGTGCGTTGCGTTCTTTAGCTTATTCGGCTTCTGACTGAGCGATGTTCACCTGCTGCGTTTGTCCTCGAGATCGATCGCAACCTATATGCACATGAATGGTTCCCGGATAATAGGTAGTCAAGTGGTGAGCCGGCTAAGAGATTAAAGAGCGTCCCAACCAAGCCCAGAGTTCGAGGTGGCTCAGTGGTCAAGGCGCGAACGGAGGGTTCAAACCCAACCAAGACGTCTCGACTGGTCATATCCAAGTTCAGACAGCCTGGCAGTATCTCAGCCTTCGTGCTGATGTCGGGTGGCGTAGCAGGTGGGCACCGAGAGGGTGTTACAGCTGAAGTACTCACACGACTAGCTTCGAAGACCATCTTGTCAAGGATTTACCAAGTTGTTTGGCCATTTCGGATAAAAATGCAAATAACCTCACGTGAGCAACTTGACAGCTCACAGACTGATCACAACCACTTTTAACCATTGTGTCCTACGTAAGCAAGGGGTGCAGTTAGGACAAATGTGAAGCATAGCGGGGACGACGGAGATTCCCCGTCGAAATGCAGGGGAAAACAGAGTGAAATGAAGCGAACTCTAAACAGGATTACCACTCACCGGCTATTGTGCCCGAGCACGCATACATCGCCAAAGCACAGGTCATCAAAGCTCCTCGATTTGCTGGACTCAGGAAACCCAAACAGGCGAAAAATAGGGTGACCACGACCATCAGTAATAGTTGACTACCGGAGCCCAGGAAGACAGATAGCAACATGCCCCAAGATGGTGGCCGAAACACGTCACCGTGAACTAGTTTCCAGCCGGATTCCTCCTGAACCTCGGACTGAAAACAACAGGACAAATGAGCAACTTGAAGTCAACCGAATTCCAGAGGGAAAAATATCAAACTAGTTGCGTTAGGCTTGATGAGTCTCACAATTATTAGACTCGTGTGAGAACGTGTATCTCTTCAACAACTAACGAGATAAAAGAATTTGAAACAACGGTATCCAGACTTTAGATGGTTAGTATTAGGTGGACACTGCAGTATTCACTCAGCTTTCCGACGTCATGGCGGAAAACGGGTGTTTCGACATGCGCAGTTTGTAATATCACGTACCGTCCCCATATACTGGGCTCGTGACAGCTCAGTAGTTAAGGGGCTGAACTTTTCGAACGGAAGGTCCGTGGTTCGAAGCCGACCTCTTCAACTCGACTTATCCTGTCTAGGCATGGACAACCTGGCAACCTCTTAACCATCGTGCTTTCTCCGAGGGTATCGCATCTATCCACCGAAAGGGTGTTGCGGCTGTATTTTTGTTACTCACCAAAGGCGAGTTCATCTCATCCATTATCCCTTCGTTACATGAAAACCTGATTACACGGAAAGGAGAGTTCTTGACAGGATTGCTTAACAAAGACACCACAAATGAGTAGCACATGTGGAAACATGAGCATCGATATGTACACGACAGGCACAAAAGTCCCCACGAGAGCACACGTCAAGCCGGTCACAGTGAAGAAATCCAGCCAGAAATCCGCGCTAATGTATGAGAGGAGTATGGGCGAAGGAAGTTAGATCGATCCCGTTACTGGTGTCTTGTTTTGACATGATGCTCTTGTCCTTGGCCGTCTTTCACAGGGATTTCTGAGATGAGTCCGCACCGTCGCCTTGTTTCCACTCTTTACTACTGTCTTATTCATCTACTGTTGTATGGCAGTTCAGCGCCAGTATGATGCTCCGTAAGGAAGATCAGTGGAAGCTTGAGGGACACAACGTCCATGAAGCCGATTTCACCACGCTTTGTTCTGGTTGAGGTTAACCAGGCGAATAAAGCAGGATCGATTGGGTATCTCGTGGTTAGCAGTATCCGCCATTTGGCACAGCGACATTATCAGTTACCACAACTGCGCGCATAGCGGATATAGATGTGAAGTACTTTCTGGAATTTGAATACGTTACAACTTGAGGGCGGTTACGTGTGTCTGCGGTCAAGAGGAGACGCATCCGACTGCTTAGAATAAATATACTCCTTCCAAATTCTTAGAGAAACTCCCACACTGAGTACACCAAGAGTAACTGGTTCATGCTGGAAGTCGACTAAACAACGAGTTAAACGCCCTCCCGGATGGGGACCTCGTGATCCCCACTGTGCCTGGTTGGAGACACTACAAGATATGGCTGCCAGCCAATTTCAGTGTTCCTGTTGACAGTTTCTATCCAGATCGCCTGAGTGAGTGTCTGGAGGTGTAGGCACCTCGAAACGATTGTGTTAAGCTAGCAATAAGTCCCTTCCCGGTCCACCTTTATTCTTTACTTTACAATAAGGCTTTTCAAATAAATCATGGCTGTACGGCAGTAGGCATCGGTATTGAACACTGATGTCATGCTGTCGATGATGATTGCAAACAGGCATTAAGGAAGGGATCCGAAATCCGGTCTTGGCCGCCAAGTCCTACCAATAGAGTGCACAGTCCCGCAGTGGTCGTTCGGCAATATTATACAGGAGATCCAGGGAATGATTGATGAGAACAATAGAAGAGGCCCAAAGCCAACAGCGTAGTCACGATATATGTTAAAGCGCTCCGTCAGACTAGGATGTATGCTAGTTGGACTCCCATAAGTTCATAGTCTATTGACCAGAGAGGGGCGAGATGGTTCAAGTGGTCAGAACGCGGATTTTCTGGTCGGAAGGTCCGGGGTTCGAACCGGACCAGTGAATCCCAACTTCCCGTGTCCGGGCTTGGGCAACCTGGAAGTATCCCCACCCTCGTACTTCATTTGGATGGCCTGGCAGTTAGGCGCCGAAATGGTACTACAGCTGAACGATAGACCAGAGAGGTAAGGTGTCACGACTAGGGAAAACGGGAAACCTTCAAAGTTTGAGAACTTAGTAACTACATGAGAGATGGGAACTTCCGATTACCGGCAAAGAGCAATACAAAAAAGGGCAAAGATGCTCTCAGTGTGGTTTTATCACCAAGGAGGGGGTGGGAATGCAATGGAACAGGACCTGAAGACTTACCGAGTTTTCAAGCTGACTGTACCGAGCAATGTCCCGTCGAAGAGTACGCAACAGTATGGTGGCCACCAACCCGGAGAGAAATAGAACTAGCACCACCGAGTTGAGTATCGACAGCCATTGGATGTTACTTTGGGGCATCGATTCCAAAATGTAATCCCACCTGGAGGCCCACTTAATGTTGCTCGCCTGCAGAGGGAAGCATTAGGAAGTACAGTAGGCACTAGAACGGAGGAACGACGTGACGTAATTTGTATCTTTGTAGGCATACGTGTACAACGGTGAATTTGACGTAAAAAATACTCCGGAAGTTCTCCCCACCAATTGGGGATTAATGATCCTAGGTAATCGACATTCGAATCATGACAGTGACGCTCCAAGTTTTACAATGTTGGAAACAAGTACGCTAAGGGGTCAATAGAATGCGCATCAGTGAAACATCGCAGAATATATGCCATTCTATCGGCTTTATACTATTTTGTCTTGTGTATTGTTTAATACCATCCTAAGAACTGACAACTCAACAGATTGTGGAACACCAGTACTGGTCATCGCAAGTTTGCTATCGATCTCTTCGTATATGATTCAAGTAAAGCCCATCGGGGCAGGCGAGGGTAAGGAATTTTGTGGACATGAGACTCAGGATAGATCGTCTCCTTTTAGAGAAGAGCTTAGCGGCAGTGAACTTCATTATGGTGGATTCACTA